AGATATTCTTCTTACAGAGTTAAGAGAGCTCATTTTTCACTTGGTACATGGACATCTGGAAGGGAAAAAATCTCACCTTTCATACCAGTTTTCAAGTCTCTCAATTTAATAATGTACCCGCGGACAACACGTGGCGAAGAAGGAATCAAAGTTAGCCGCCGTCTCTACCAGCCACCTTCTCTGGTTCAGGCACATGGAAGAGCAGGAAGAGACGTCACGATGAGGTTGAAGGTGATACTTTGTACCACCCCCACTGACCCTGCGGGCACCAGTTCAGGAATACAGTCTTCCTGTCACTACCTTCTTAGGACGAATGGTAGCTGAAGGACACTAGCCAGTGAGGCACGGAAGGAAGATTCATAGTCAAAACTGACAAAGTACAGAGGTGAGGAAATGGTAGGAGAGGAGCAAATTCTTTCTACTACGTACCTACATGCCTACCTAATACCTTTTGACCTTTCGTTCACCTGGATCAGCAGAATGGGTTATCTGGGTACCAATCAGAAGTACTCTTTCACTGTCATAATAGCTTATAATAATTAGAGAGCAGTTCTTCCAAAATTACAAGCAGAGATATGACACTGATGTCTCCAACAGATCTTATTACCAAAAGCAAAACCAATGAAACAACAGCTGCCTCTTCTAGAGCGTTCAATTCCCAATTCAATTCCACTTACTCCATCCTTGGAGTGGCAGACCCGCAGGGCACTTTTCATCTAATAGTGTTTCTATGGAAACGCCATTCTCAACCTGGAAGATGTACAACCCTTCACTTTTGCTTTCGCCGCATTGAGAGGAAAGTCTTATAAATAAGGAATCGAGACATAAATCTGGCCAGAGACCAAAAAAGTATATATTTTTCCAGGCTAGAAGCTCACAAAAAGAAACAAAATGAAACCAAATAGCAAAACACATGTCTCTAACTTAGAAACTACATTTGTCCCAGTAGCAGCCAATGGGATCCTCAAGATCAGTGAACAAGGAACCCAGGAAAACGTGAATGAAAATCAGTTCGCCTTCAGGACCACCTCCCCTACTGGTCACTGCCAACCATGGATGTCACCCACTGAGTGGCTCTTCCCCTGAATCTGCGGGGTTGCATTTCTATCACCTCCACTCTTCTGACTTTCAGGATTTCTGGGACACACGGCAGCTCCACGCAGGGACTCCTGTCACTGCATACTTTAAATAAGAACCATATTAACCATATTTTCTAACTAGATTATACTTAAAATTGCACTATATTAGGGAAGGAAAACAAAAAAGAAAAAAGACCTTTAATTTTTACCTTATACATTGTATTTATTCCTTCTCATTTCCACTAGGGCAAGTCTTTGTAACACCAATGCAGCAAAATAACCACTAATATGCAAAACACATCCAGCTTAACATTATGACGCAGGAGGCTACATTTACCATTGGAATAATGCCCTTCAGAAGGAAAGAGAAACCTTGATGTGACATATGCCCCCGAACTGACTGTCACTCTATAGTGACTCATATGCCAATATTAAGTACTTTTTAATTGTTTGCAATAATTTGTCTTCAGGCAAATGCAAGCATTTCAATTAATAAATGCTTTTATTTTCTTTCTAATTCTCTCTTATTACCTAAATGTCAGTCATTCTTTTCAATTCCAGGGAACAGTTGTTTTAAGAGACCTTCTCTCGTTATCAGAACTGGCACATGTTCAACTAAGTAGTCTAGGCTGAAAAAAATTTACATCAGTGAAATTTCCTTTTTACCCTGTATCACCGAAGATCAAAACCTGTTTCCTTTTTCTTTCAGTGTTTTCATTATGCACAAGTATGTCCAGTTGAGCTTGCTAGAGACCATGAGTCCAAGAATGGAGCTTTAGTTCTCTCTTTGGAGTAGTAAAATGTGCTCCTGATTAAATCTACCTGTGCATAACTACAGAACGACACATTTTTCTTATGCAGCTGGGGTGCAAATCCAGAAAGGAAGGTTTTTTCTTTCTTTCTTTTTTTTTTTTTATTCAGGGCCTATTCTGCAGCTCTAACACACAAATGCTTGAAAGCCCTTTCAAAGGCAGATTTTTTTAAAACTGAATAAGCCCAATTAAAAGATTGACCCATTTCTTTGAAAAAGGAAAAAACTAGCAATTTGCTTTTAAAGAGGTGTGTGAGGTTTTATGTCTTTGACATTTAATATATTAGCTTTTATAATTTGCTAATGAATTGTTATTGCTATTGTTTTAATAAGCCAGTTTCCATTGCTCTTTTATATCTAGCAAGATTTAAGAAAGAATTTTCTAGATACATTTAATTAATTATAGAACAAAAATGTGTTACATTTAAAATTTGTAGACAGTCTTGCAACTGAATCCTGCGTCCCTGGAGACCTCTCAGAACTTGAAATAAAGTTGCTGAAGGATTAGTACTGAGATGTCAGTAGTTACTTACATTTGGACAAATCACAACAAAACTCTCTTTAAAACTCTATAGGTTTTCCCACAGAATTTGCTATAATCAGCTCCTGATTATAAATATTACCTAAGTAGTCTGTGCATTCCTTCACAAAGTATATATAACAAGACAAGAAGCGTGCTCCTTGTGGCTAGAGATCTGTTGGCCCTTGTAATTAGAGAAGAGAGAAGGGAATCTTTCCCAGGGGGAAAGTAAGAGGGAGTAAATTTAAACATACCTCCTAACTTTGTTTTTTACATGATATTATAAGAGCCTTTTCTTTTTGGAGACCATTACCATTATCGACATTTTCATGTGAGCAGCCGGCAGTGGAACGGGACTGGAGGGCATGGGACTATCCAACAATCAGCTAGGCGACATCTATGAACACTCATGTACATGGGCAAATGGAGAAGCTCCCCCTTCCGGGGCTGTGAGGGAAGCCAGCACAGACCCCAACACCTACAGAAATCAGGCAATTCACGGACAACTCCTATTACCATCACCCCAATATGTAGACCACTAAAAACATTGCAATGTAGGTATAATCATGCTGGCTGTCAAAAAGATTTTTGTTTTGTTTTTTTTTTAAAGAAGGTACTGTCGCTGTCTGCAAGGTTCTTCACAAGGATACAACCTAGGAAACCAAGAACCGGATTCATGCATAAAAGGACCTGCTTCTCTCTACCCTGGTTCCATCTGAACCAATATTTGATTATATTTTATTCAGGGGCAACTAAGCTGCAAATAAAGCCAAGGCTCCTTTGCAGAGTGAGGTGTAGGTTGAGGAGATCTATTCATTTTCTTCTGTTAGTACAGGAAATAGAAACATTTTGGTGGTGACTTCAGGGTCGACGTGACTTGGTCCCCTCCGTGCACTCAACCTCCAGATCAGGTTGGCTGCTCAGTGCTGGTGATGAGATACCAGCCTGGCTACATCAGCGCTACTGACCAACTATCACTTCTTACCTCCTGCTGATTTCAAACACCCCAGACCCTGGCGCTCCCTCACCCCCTCTGCAGTGCTCAACAATCCCCAGGAGCACAGGTGCACCGGGCGGATCTCAAACCATCTCCGCACGGCAGCCAGTGTCAGGTCAGTCCTGGCACCTCGGTCAGGTCTTAGGTAAGCCTAATAAGATGTTAAAGTCAGCTAAACAATCTAAATCTTCAAGGACCTCCCAACATTAACCAACCCCTCAAGCCGATTCCAGCATGGTCAGCATCATCTAGTAACTGTTTAGAACCATCATGGGAAGAACTGAAGGGTGGAGACCATTTTTTTAGTTTCTCCTGCTGCTCTCAGTTTTGATTTCACTCATGGATGCTGGAAACTCTGGAGTTATTTATAGCCTCGAGCATCATTGGTGACACAGCCTCTGTCCAGAGTTGCAGAACCAGCCTGGGCTTCAATATCCCCTGCTTGTCTCCCTGCATCCAAACACATCACTGAGGACCATGGCTTTGAAAGTAGGCAAGGGCATAAGGGTCAACAGGTCAAGACACATTTGCCACAATGCAGAGTTAACTTTAATACTTAAGAAACATAAACTGTGGTAAAAATAGTAACATGAAAGGTTGCCTCCTGACATTTTTTAAAAGGCAAGGTTCTTACTATTCGTTCATTTTAGGCTAGGCAACGCTACCACTTGTCTAAATTCACCCCTTGTCCCCCAGAGTGAAAGTCCCCTGGTCAATAATTTTGCTGAGTTTTAAAATATTATTTTACTCATAAATTTCCATTTTTATCTTCTTCCTTGGATGTCATTAAATCAGTGTGCACTTACAAAAATATCCACCACAATATTATGATTATAAATATTTTGAACATGAAATTCATTCAGAACAATAACCAAACCAAACAAATCCCTCGGTGGCAGAAAGCCCCACTTCTCCAGTTCCTCACATCTCCAGGAGAATTCCTGCAGTGAAAACAGCAATACTCACACAGACAATATAAACTGTTACTCTGCTTGAAAAGTCACCAGGGACTACACAGGAAGAGCTGACTCTCTATTGCTGTTTTCCTTTCCAGTTCTAAATGCAGGGACGACTTTCCCTGTGCAGCCCTGACTCACATGAACATTTTGGAATGGCAGCCAGTGCATTCAAACCACTTAAAAGCAAATTATGGGAGCACCCTGCCATTGCAACGAGATTGGATTTTTTGCGGACCATTCGTTACAAAGGTCCATGAAAGCATTAGAAGAAATGAAGTCCTTCTCTCTGGGGTTGGTCTTACTTGCTTCTTAGGGAAAGCTGGTTCTAAGTACTTAAGAGGCACACTGAGAAAAGCGGCATCATTAACATGCATACTTAAAACCACAAGTGCACATGAACTCCTAAACCTTAGAACTTACGAAAGTTAACAACATAGCAATAGTGAATGAACTTCAAACCAAACTCCTCATGGGGGGTATGCATCTAGGCAATAAGTGCTGACACTTCTGTAAAAACTGTGGGAACACAGTGATTTATGAAATATTCCAGGTCCAGAGGGATCACTTTTCCCCCATTTTTTTCTACCAAAACTGTCCATATTTAGTTTACATATGTCATTTAGAATCCACTTACTGTTAGATGCTGGAACAGCCACGCCCTCATGATATTTGTGGCTACTTTGGGAAAGATGCCACGCTTTTTGTGACGCTTTTTGTCTTTATCTGGATCGTCATCGTCACCTGTGCTGGGGGAAGCTACACTGTTGTCCAAGCCATCACCTGCAAACATAGTGAATCAAATTTTGACTGATGCTACCTTGACATGCTTTATTCAAATAGAATGCCTTTGGATATACACAAAACCAAAAGAGCAATATAAATGATTAATAGTTTCTTTGGTACTGTTTTTTTTTTTCAAGACAGAGAAAGAACAAGGCCTAGGCTCAAAAGTGGTCAGGTCTAAGGAACTTCTGCCAGAGAACAGTGTAAAAGGTCGAAGGGAGTGGAGGGGAGCAACCGGTCTCTCTAGCGGCTCTGCCACCATGGTAGTTACTCTAACGCGTGTATCTGAGACCTGCCAAGTGTAACTCCTTTGGGGGAGTTAAAGATGGCGGCCGCCATGATCGGAGTTGTGGTCCCTGTCACACGGAGTCCCTGATGTCAACTTGTGAGGAGATGCATTTAAGATGTTAACTATTTCCACAAGCAATATATCTTAAGACTGAATTAGGCCAAGGAAATGTAGGTAATCCATCACATAAGCAGTTTTGACATAGGAATGCTTCAAATAGAATGTAATTTATCTTATCATAGAAAGAGAACATCAAGTTTAGTAAGGGGAAATCTTCCAAAATTGTTTTTTAATTAAAAAACAATCACTATTTAAATCAAATAAAGTGATGTTTAATTAACAGTCCGTTGGAGTTGTATTACCCTGATAATCCAGGCAGTTTCTAAAATTCTCATGCATTGAAATCATTCTTACTGGGAAGTCACCTGTTTACACATGCCTGTGTGTTGGGTTCTGTTTGTCCAGGGATTTTTGTTACAACGTTTAAGCTGTTTCTTTCAGAAAATATCTTGGCTCTGTGATACAATAAACTTCAAAATGTATTATTTCTTTTACATTGCCATGTCTCATAAGAAAAAAAATTCAGCTCATATAATCACACTGTTCAAAATAAGTCATAGGATACAAACAAAAGTAAGTACTTGGTGTTTTGGTGCAAAAATCAAAGGAAAAACAACAGCGAACTAAACCCACAGCACTAAAAAGTAGCTTTGCTTCTATCAACATGCTTTTCTACCTGGAGCCCCAGCTCTTGGTGGGAGCTACTGGATTTTAGAAAAGGCTTGTTGATCTGGACCCAGAAAGAGGAACTTAGCAGCAGAGCTTAGCAATGAGGTAACCCGTGTCCTGAGAGCACATCCATGTGGACGCGTGGGTCCCTGGAGAGCAGCCTGCACGGCCCAGAGCACCTGGTGTATGGGAAGAGGCGTTCGTTTCCCAGGGACGGCATGTTGCTTCATGAGTCCCCATCTTTGCCGTTAGCCTACATACTGTATGTACAAAAAGTATCCTCTGGTTTAATTTCTGTCTAATCCATAGCAATTATGTTACCATGAATCAGTTGTTTTTAACAGCTCCCTCAGGAGACGCTCAGCACCTCTCCCAAAAAAGAAAATTGCCCCCAAATTGCCTTGACTTGTACTGAGTTCAAGTTTAAAATTTTGTTGAAGAACAGACTAACTTCAACATTTCTGCTATGATTGCAGTATAGGCCACACATACAACATGCAGAACTTTTCAGAGGTTACTTCTTATTAATTTAAAAATCCATTATTTTATTGTACTCGAAATCCATATGTGTTTACTAAAGTTACCACAGAATAATGGCTACCTTCTCAGCGGAAAAGATCATGAAGACCCACAGTTCCAAAGCTCTCAGCATGTGGATGAAGAAAGTGCTAGTGTTCCCATTGGCTGACTTTCCCAAGGTCACGCAGCCTGGGATGGAGCTGGTGAGTCTGCGCTGGACCAGACCCTCCCACCCTAAATCAGTCTGCCTCCCATCCCACCCAACTCTTTATTTGCATAACCAAGTGTTTCATAAGATGTCCCCTTGGATTTGCCTAACAAATTCTTTGAAAGTCCAGTATTTAAAGAGGCTTTTTATTCAGAGAAGCAATTCAGCATATAACATAACAATTCATTAAAGAAACATGAGCAAAGAAAACAACTCAACAGCTTTTAAAATTTCAGTGGGCTAATCCACTTGCAATATGCAAAAGGTAAGCAAGGAAAAGAAACATATTACTTGATCATTGATTAAAAATGAAAAGCTTCTAACATAACCACACAGTTTTTCACCACCATGATTGTCTTCCACCTTTAAAAAAAATAGCCTTTCTATCCATCTCAAAACCCCCTCAGATTAATTTAGCAGGCAATGCTTAGTGCCTGCCTAGAAGAGAATTCATTGATAATTTATGGAAATATCTACCATAATCCAGCAGAGATGACTTTTTTTCAGCTTTGTGCATCAATAGATAATCAAGGCCTTAAAGCAGCCTTAGCTTCCCATTACCTCAGGCAAAAGAATTCCTGAAAGCGTGCCTTGAGGGCACCTGAATTATATACTCCATTAGGAGAGGAAGGCTTTCTGCATTCCATGTGTAACACTCACCAGAACCTTTCCTGTTTATTTCTGCTGTATGAAAGCAGAAGCATTAGGAACAGAATTTTTTAAGTGAAGACTTATGTAGATACAATGGAGAAACCTTTCAAGCAGGAGCCAGATCACCCCCTTCAGTCCCTGGCAGTGACCTCTCCCGAATAAAAGGTTTCTATTACATCATTAGCTCCAGCCAAAAACAGCCTTGGCTTAATGCACAGTTTGTTCTTCCTACTGTTTTTAGGCAAATACAGCTACTTTACTCCCATCTGGGAGGGAAATTACACTGCTGGGTTGTAATCTAAGACAAGATTTTCATTGGAAGCAAATGCTTTCAATCCAGTGTAAATACTGGTGCATGTTCAGAAAAGCCTAAAACAATAAACCCTGCTCCTTCCCGACACAAGTTAGGGAAATGGAGAAGATGGGGAAGGAGAAGATCATAATAAAATAGACTATTCCGAAAGCAAACACTTTCATAGTTTTTAATAAATTGTTTAACCTCTCCCACTTTCTAAAATTGAAAATCGATCTCGCCATGTCTGCACCTCAGCGGACTGTCTCAATGGTCAATTGTACCTTCAGCATATCCATTCGCTCTGCAATTGGATACAGTCACCTCTCTGCGGTCTCCGGAGGATTTATTTCCCTTTTTTATGTTTAAGATCACTAAACAAACTTGGAGGACCGCCGGCCGACCACACGGCAGCAGGCAGCAGTCTGAACCACATTTGTAAAATGTCAGCAGTGACTTCATTCCTGGAGCTGACTTCTCCTGCCGCCAAATGAAGGCAAACTGAAAAGGTGGAAATAATCATAAAAATGATGCTAGTCCATAAACAAGCTTACAGCCTCATTAGGATAGCAGTAGGCTCCAGTGGGTGATTTATGCTCGTTTTGCTGATGCTATGAGGAAATGCCATAGGGTGACTTTAGCCAATTGCTAATGGTTTCTGACAGCTTCTTAGCAACTAGTGCAGGCAACGATGTGGCGTTTGCTAGTGACAGAAACCGAAAATGTCATATTATCTGCCCATGTGTCATGAAGTCCATGTGGCAATTAACTAGCCGGCCAGTGACAGAGGGGCCAGAGGCTCCTGAAAATGGCCTTTGGCTATGCAGAGGCGGCAGGGGCTGAGCACAGACTGGCTGCTCATATGCAACATTCTAATGCAGAAATCCACTTCCTTGCAACTTGCAGGCTCTGATGAGACCGGGCCACTCAAATCCCTTTCCTCCCCTCACTGAAGTGAAACTCGGGGCTCCTCTGTCTCTAGGCCCTGGCTCTGGCTGTTCTCAGAAGGCTCTAAAGCGATCTGCTTCGGTGTGATTCTCCGAATGGCTCCTTAATTGGCAATACCTGGTTCTGTGCTTTTTGGACACTGGATTCAAAGGTGCTGGCTGTTTTTCGGCTCTCTCCCAAATGAGTCTGAAAGGACTGGAGATCACTGAAGCAGATGCATTGCCTGTCAGACTGCTAGGAACAGAGGAACTCTGTGCAGCCACAAGACACTGTTTTCAAAAACACCAGGCTTCTAACAAGCAGAGGGAGAATCCTGGCCACACTGTGCAGTTTCTGAGCTATCAAAACCATGCACTATATGTCAAACTGTCAAGCCTTTCAGCGTGGGCCATTTGCCCTTTCAAATAATATTTAAGAATTGTTTTTACAAAATTTTATAGGCCATGGTCTAGTGAAAGAGGCCAACCAACAAAGAAAGGAATTTGTACTACAATTCGTCTACGGACAATTTCTTGTGAGACCTGGGCCTGTCCCTGCGGAGCAAGGCAGGTGACCTGTGGCAGCTCCCAGGCTGTCAGAGAGCTCAGATTTCAAACACGCTCAGCTCCAACATCCCGAGTCGCCTATTTAAGCATGCCCAGGCATTTCGACTGTGCTATCTCGAGCCTTTCAAGGCAGGATAAAGCAGCATTTATCGTATTCAGGCCATTCAATGGGTCACACTGACCGTGTCAGCAGGGGCTCCTCGCCGGCAGGTCAAAGCCCTGCTCCCATTTTTCTCTCCCTCCTAACAGACTGCCATTCCCAAACACCTACTCCCAGCGAGGCAAAAACAAAGGCCAGGAAAGTGCCTGAGACTGACATCCCAACGGATGGGAACGTGCCACGTCGGTGGGCCGGCAGGTACAAATACGACGTGGGGCCCACGACAGGGCTCCTCATCACAGGGGCAAAACTTTTAATGATGGACAGGAATTTGCAACTGCCAGGGAAATGGACATGCCAGGCTGGGGACCCCCTCGTTCTGCTAGGAGTCGAACGGAAGCCACCCCAGCTCCAGGAACGTGTCATTAAACTGTAATTTTGTACTGAGACTCTGTCCTGCCAGGCCACGTCCACTTCTTAACCTTTACTTTTGTCTTCTTCAAGTGTTTAGAAGGATACAGTGCTCATTCAAAAAATGTGCCTCGACTGAAAAATCAAGGTCATTTATAATCATATTTTTCAATCCTGACCAAATTCTTCTGTGTTTTGAAAGTTGTCTAAATGGTCCACTCCAAAGCGCTCTTGTGACTACATAGCTCATGTTGTAAGATGGCTAAATTTTTACCCCAAATTGAGGGCTCCCTTTTTCTCATCCG